GTTACATATTGATGTAGAAAACCACAAATTAACATCATCTATATTGTATTATATTTTTATTATATGATTGTTATTATATAATTATATTTATAGACAGCTAGGGGGCACAGTGGATAGAGTGCCAGATCTGGAATCAAGAAGACTCATCTTCCTGAGTTCAAATCTGGCCTCAGACCCTTACTAGCTTTATGAACCTGGACAAGTTACTTAACTCTGTTTGCCTCAGTTCTTCATCTGTAAAATGAGCCAGAGAAGGAAATGGCAAACCATTCCAGTATCTTTGCAAAGAAAAACCCAAAATGGGGTCACAAAGTCAGACTTGACTGAAAAACAACTGGAAATAATTATATTAAATAATTTTTTATCATTTATTTTGTTAAACATTTTCCAATTACATTTTAATCTGATTTGGATGCATGTGAAGAATGAGTTTGACACCTCTGAATTAGTTCTCTAGCTCCTGAAGCTTGGAGAGGCTGTGATTTGTCCAAGGTCACACAGGCTGGATGTGGTAGAGGTGGTTTTCACCTAGGTCGTAGAATGATAGGATCACAGATTGAGAGCTGCAGTGGCCTTTGAGGTTACCTAGGCCAACTCCTTCATTTTACAGATGAGGGAACCAAAGTCCAGAGAAGTCGACCGGCTTTCCTAAATTCACACCACATGGTTGGCAGAGCTGAGATTCTGTCCCAAATCTCCTGTGTCCAAATCCAGGGCTAATCATTTAAACTCTCCACTTCTCGGTTTCTCTAGCTGTAAATCAGAACTATAATACTAGCTGACTTAACTAGTCAATGGTGAAGGATAATTGGTAAATAATTAAACAAAACCACAAATAAAATCGTCTCACTAACCGAAATGTAGAAATACTAAGCAGCCATTTGAAGGCTTCAGAGTGACAGCTGAATATACACATGGTAATTTCCTGCCTCCATCCCATAGCCTTCGGATGAGGGCCCTCACTGACTCAAGCTGATATAATCACCGCCTTATTTCCCCAGTACCAAGCATCCCACAGATTGCATGCCCCAAGAACATGCTGCTGAATGTCTGGATGCAGGAGACAATAGTGCAGTCAGGTCCAGGGAAACCCCAGGTACCAGCACAGGTGGATGCTACCTGATCTGAATGTCTTTTATATATCTAATGTTACTGGGCAAGTATTGATATTCTAAACAAAGTACAGTTAAGACATGGGATTACAATTCATTCAGATCTACTCTCTAGGTTTCTTGATTTGCTCAAAACTTTTGCTCCCCCCACATTTGTCCTCTGGGGTCTTTTCCTGGAAGAAACAATAATGCAAATAGCATTCCCTTGGAGGCTTAGCTACAGGGCCCTCCGTTTGTGATTGGGATGTATTCAAGCACTCTGTACATGTCAGACAGGCAGAAAATAATGGTTCCCCTTGAGCTTAATATCCCATTCAAGAGGATTGTGAATTGCAAACCAGCTTTCATTCATTCAGACTAAATCACATCACATCTGTTTCAATCCTCCTTGTAATGGTATACATATTTGATATATTTTTTTTGACAAGTCAGGGGTAGTGGGAACTAGTAGTGGGGGGAGAGGAGGGAAGGACACACACACACTACTAAAAACTGTAATTCTCAGTTTGGAGTGAGGGTGGGGAGTCATTTTTTGAAAAGTGTCTCAGGGTCTTGTTGAGGCCAATTTCATTGCAGAATGAGACCTAGCCTTTTAGTCACACTCTCAATTAGGAGATCTTATCTTGATATGTTTGATTTTAGGTAGCATGATTGATCAGCTCAGTGATACTGCTGTTGTTGCTGCAGCTGCTACTGTGAGCTGCTATGGTATAGTGAATAACAGCCTGGTCTTGAAGTTCTGAGTCCAATCCTTGCCTCTGTGACCTTGGTTAAGATAGCAACTGGGACTAGCTTCAGAAGTTTGGACAGAGGCCAGGAGAGGTACTGGCCCACAAGAGAAGGATCAGGTTGCTAGCTAGATAGAGCAGGCTGTTACTTTCAGTGTTGAGACCGAGGCATACTGTACAGATATCCTTTACATGCTGGCAAGATCCTGAGGTAAAAATAAATTCATACAAAGATATGTGACATTCAAGTTAAAATAATGAAAGATGAGTTGGCTTGCTCCCCTGAGAACCAAGGGCCAATGGCTTCTAAATTCAGTTCCAACCAGATCACCTTGGGGCCTTAGAGGTTATCTAGTCCAATGGTGTCAAACTCCAAAAGAAACAGATCCCTCTGAGCTACATATTGACTTAGAAAGCCATAAATTAACATTATATTATCTCGTATTTTTATCTCATTAATCATTTCTCAATTACATTTTAATCTGGTTTGGACCTAAAGAATGAGTTGATATGTTCCCTAGTTCTCAATGTTCCCAGGCAATTTTTTATAATAAGTTTAAGATGAGATGTTGTTCTTTGTGAGTGGAGGGAGTTTCCACACCAGGAGTACAACAGATTGAAAAAAACCTGATATTTACAGTTTTAAGGCTTGTAAAGCCTTTTTCTTACACTTAATAAACTCTAGTAACTCTTGTCTCTTCTAGTAACAAGCATATGCTATGACATTTAAAACTCTTTACAATGTGGCCCTATCCACCCTGCCTTTCCTGTCTGATTATACATTGTTGTTATTGTTGTTGAGTTGTGTCAGTGGTGTCCAATTCTTCGTGACCCCATTTGGGGCTTTCTTGGCAAAGACAGTAGTCTGCTATTTCCTTCTCTAGCTCATTTTATAGAAGAAGAACTAAGGCAAAAAAAGGCTAAGTGACTTGCCCAGGGTCACACAGCTAGTAAGTGTCTGAGGCTAGATTTGAACTCAGGAAGATGAGTCTTCCTAACTCCAGTCCTGGCACTCTGTGCACTATGGCGCCACCTAGCTGCTCTCCATGCCCTCTAGGCCTCCTTGTTATTCCTCACACATGACAATCCACATCCTCTCTTTGTGTCTTTGTATAGGTTCTCTCTCCTATTCTTGGAAAGCACTCCTTCTTTCATCGAACCTGTCTTTTGGAGTCCCTAGTTTTCTTCAAGAATCAGCCCAAGCACCGCCTTTTGCATGATGCCTTTCTGGATCCTCCAGCTGCTATTTGCCCCTCTTCACACCCCCAAAGGTTGCCATTATCTGTTTTGTATATGCCTCCCCTGTTAGAATGTAAGCTTCTAGTGGGCAAGAGTGTTTTGCTTTTATCTAGGCATCCTCAGCCTCTAGCACAGTGCCTGGTACAGATCAGTTAATTAAATGCTTATTGGCGGATTACATTTTCTCATTGGAGCCTCACAACAACCCTTTGTGGTAGGTCCTACAACTATTTTAATCTCTTTACAGATAAGGAAACTGAGGCTCAGAGCTGTTAAGTGATTTGCTAGTGGTCACATAGTTTGTTAGTCTTGGAGGCTGAATTTAAACTCAAGTCTACTTGACTCCAGAAGCTGTACTCTACCCTCTATCCAGAGGGGTCAGACACGTGGCCTAGGCCACATGGTAGGCCCACACCACTCAGTCAATCAATAAACATTTATTAATGCCCCTACTACGTGCCAAGTCCCCTCCTGGATCACTGCCGTGTCCTGGTGGAAGGACTTGTGTAGCTCAATGCAACTATGAGCTACATCGTGCAGGGTTACCCAAGACGGATAGGTCATAGTGGACAATCTGACACAAAGTAATCCACTGGAGAAGGAGATGGCAAACTGCTCCTGTATCTTTGCCAAGAAAACCCCACGGACAAGAGAGTAGAGAGAGGAAGGGCCTGGAGAGTCACAGACATGACTGAATAACACCAGCGATGTGCCAGGCACTGTGCTAAGCATGAGGGGATACAAAACGAGGCAAAATACAGTCCCTGCCCTCAGGAAGCTCACAGTCTTTTGTCCTGAGCCACTAGTGCAGTGAATGAAGCGCTGGGTGTGAAGTCAGGAACACCTGAGTTCAAATGTGACCTCAGACTTTCACTAGCTGTGTCAAGTTACTTACCCTCAGTTTCCTCAACTGTAAAATGGGGATGATAATAGCATTTATATTATAAGGTTGTTGTGAGGATCAAATGGGATAATTTATAACAGTGTTTGGCATGTAGTAGATGCTATACAAATGCTTGTTCCCTTCTCCAGGGTGGCCTGAACCATATTAAGATGGAACTGGGAAATATTTCACAAAATAAATAAATATGCAACAGAACATAGATATTTTTAATATGTGGTTTTCTAAGTCCATATGTGGTGTGCAGGGACCCTTATGTATAGATTTGTGCCCCCTCCCCTTTCTATCTGAGTTTGACACCTCTACTATACCACATTTCCCTGAGGCCCAACTGTTGGGTGGACTGGAATAAAGGGAGTCAATGAACACATCACTTGCTTTACCAATTCATTTCACCTCCTGTGCCTTGAAGATTTTGAATAGTGTGTGCTATCGGATGCTGTGTTTCAAAAGTACTAACAACACAACCAGAAATAATAAGCTCTTGACATTTACCTCCTGCTCTCTGTAGCAGAACCTAATTATTCTCAGTCACCTACTTTCATTGTCAGGAGAGCCAAGGTGAGAGAGAGAGAGAGAGAGAGAGAGAGAGAGAGAGAGAGAGAGAGAGAGAGAGAGAGAGAGAGAGAGAGAGAGAGAGAGACAGGGAGAGACAGAGAGAGAGAAAGAGAGACAAAGAGAGAGAGACAGAGAGAGAGACAGAGAGACAGAGAGACAAGAGAGAGAGAGAGAGAGAGAGAGAGAGAGAGAGAGAGAGAGAGAGAGAGAGGAGACAAAGAGAGACACAGAGAGAGAAAGACATAGAAAGAGGAAAAGAAAGGAGAGAAAGAGACAGAGAGACAGAAAAAGAGAGAGAGAGAGAGAGCTGTGGTTCTTCATCAAAGTAAGAACATTTCAGCTTCGAGAGATTAGCAGAGCTGAGGAATTTGTGAGTGTGTCTCAAAAATAGCTTACATGTCACCCAGGGGTCAGTTTTCATGTGGGACATTTATGGTGAAGAGTCTGGTAAGCTGCTACTCATCTCTGAAGGTGTTTATTTATAGTAAATTAACCATAGGAAAGCTTGTTCCCAAATTATTCCAGCATCTGTGAGCGAATCAAGTTGGCCTCGGAGGGAACACCATGTCTGTTATAAACAGAAGACACAGACAACGCGTTATCATCCAATAGTTCAGCTTTCTGCTCTGAGTGCCATTAATGATTTAGAGAATTGTCAGAGAATAAAAGCATAAGGGGCTTGCTGGAGAAAAGAAAAGTTGTAGGGGGAAGAGAGTTGGGGGTTTTTTTTGTTATTTTTGTTTATTTGGTTTGGTTTTTTGATAGCTGTATGTGAGTGAGGCTCTCTCACATCCTTTCAATTTCTCCTTCCTTCTTTCCTTCATGGTTCATGGGAAAACAGACTTAGAGGTCATCCACTCCAATTCTCCCATTTTACAGGTGAAGACACTGAGGCCTAGAGAGGTCAAGGGTGTTGACCAAAGTTATATCGGTAGTTAATAAAAGAGCTGGGATTTGAACTCAGTGCTCTGATTAAAGGTAACTTTTTATTTGTTTGGGGTTTTTTTGGCTGTGCTATGATTCTGTACCCCATATTCTCATATTGCCTTGGGCCTTTTCCATCAAGAAGAAATGTGAGGTGAATTCATATTATGTTAGGAATTTAGTGTTATCTCTTCTCGAGGACACTTGATTTTCAGAAGAGAAGCTTAAAGGTATCTCACTCCCTTAGCTTAATACTTCACTCCTAAAGAATGACTCTCTAATTGCTGAGCATCAAGCTTGTAGAAGAGTTCTTTTGGGAGAGGTGAGTATCTCCAGCCCTTCTCTAATCCTATCTCTGGCCAGTTGTCTTCTCTAAGGCCCTTCAGCCACATCTTACTCTGTACACTACTTTACATTTTACAAAGAGGTTTTCACAGATAGGAGTTCACTTATGAATACAATGGAAAGAGCACTGGGTTTGTGAGTCAGAAGATCTGCATTCAGCTTGCCTACCTCTGGTGCTTATTACCTACGTGACCTTAGGCAAGTCACTTAACTTTCCTGGGTCACAGTTATGTCATTTATGGAATGAAGAATTTAGACTAGGTGGTCACTGATGTTTGGTTCTATAACCCCCAACTACACTACAACCCTGTGAAGGGGAGGTAGGCAAGGATTTTTGTCCTTATTTTAGAAAGCAGGAAAACAGACTCAGTGACTTAATGAAAGTCTCACGGCTAATAAGTAGTAGAAATCAGACTAAAATTTAGTTTTTTCACCCTAATGACAGAGTCATTTCCATGCAAATACCTGTATGCATGTGTGAGCATGTGCATATATAAATAACAAATGAATAAATATATTGTTTGGTTTTTTTTCAGAAATCTAAAAACAATTGGAGAATGTTGGACAAATTAGAGGTATTGTGATTACCAAACTCTATAAGGGTTTACTACAGGCAAACTTTTCCTAGTGACCTGCTTGCTGGCAATTTATTCTCTGTTCCCTGCTTCCATTCATAATTCTTCTCCTCCAGGAAGCCTATTAGGCAGGTCAGGGTGAGGATACCCTAAGCTTCTCTGTCAAATAACTCTTTCCCCATTCTGTCTGTATTAAACGGGCAGCTAGGTAGCGCCAGACCTGGAGTCAGTAAGACTCATCTTCTTTGAGTTCAAATCTGCCCTCAGACACTTACTAGCTGTGTGACCCTGAACAAGTCACTTAATCCTGTCTGCCTCAGTTTCCTCATCTGTAAAATGAACTGCAAAAAGATGGGAAACCACTCCAGTGTCTTTGCCAACAAAACCTCAATTGGGGTCACGAAGAGTCGGACACGACTGAAAACAATTGAGCAGCAACAACTGTATTAAAAGATAAAAATTCTGAGATATATATGTATATGTGTATATATATATATATATATATATATATATATATATATATATATATATGTATGTATATGTGTGTGTGTATATATAAAACACCAAAACCTGGATAACGGTGTGTCTATTTATAATTGTCCTGGTTGCTCTGAGCTTTATCATCAGTCAGTATAGTGCCCTGATTGTGGCTTTTCCGTAAAGGTCCAATAATCACATTTGATCATGTGGTTACTGCATGAGGAATAGCGGGTCTCTGGCTAAGAGAGAGGGGGCAGCCCTACAGAGACCTGAAGGGGGAACTGAGCATCAGAAGGACAAAGAAGGAAACAACATCACATTTTGGTCAGCTAGAAGTCAAGGGCGGTCTGAGAGTGGCAAGAGGACTTGAGGCAGGCAGGAAGAATTTTGTCCACCACCTCTGTTGTTTTTTTTTTTAAACAGTAACTACTTCATGCTATAGGAATGGTTCAATCACGAAGAAAGATGTGCTAGTTCATTCATTCAGTCTCCTTCATCCATTCACAAAGAGCAGCCTCTTCTAAGAGAGAATTATTTTTCTAGCTGAAAATCGATTTTCCACCTTAAGAGTTTGTTTTCTCTCAGAGACCCCAGGGGTAAAGGCACCAGGGAGTTAGGAGAATGGTGGCTTACAGGCATCATTATTCCGATTAATTGAAAACATTTCAGTTTCCTGTGGATTTGCAAAAAATAGTGAACCTTCTTCAATATCTTTCTTGAGGTTTGTTTCATAGATGCTGCTGCCTCTTGTTCATTATAGCTTGCCTCTATTCCCCTTATCCCCTTCCCTCCTTGAATGGGCTAGAGCTGTGATTACAATCTGATTCTGGAATTTGGCTCTTCCCAAGCATAAGTCTGACGACGTCACTCTCCTGCTCAAGAATCTTCATTGGCTCCTATTGCCACCTGCATAAAATAAAAACTTCTCTGTTCAACATTTTAAGCCCCTAACAAGATGGTTCAAAGAGATCTTTCCAGACATTTCATTTCATATCCCTGTCCCCCCCAACATGCTCTACATTTGAGCAAATTTCTCCACATATGACACTTCATTTCCTGTCTCCATGCTTCTGCATGGGCTGTCCCTCTATACCAGGGATGCTCTCCTTCTTTACCTCCACTTGTTGAAACTCCCAGATCCATTCATAGCTCAAGTCAAATGCCACCTCCTGATGCTCCAATCATTAGTGGTCCCCAACCTTGGAAATTATTTTATTTGCTTGGTGTTTCCCCAAGTTGAATATAAACTTATTTTTAAAATTCTAATTTATTTAATTTATGGAATAAAACAAGCATTTCCATAACATAAAACAATAAAAAAAGATGATTGCACATGAAACTGCAAATCTACTATGCACAACTTGCTATTCCTTTCAAATATGCAACAAAACTATCATGTAAATTTCTTTTTTTCCCTTTTTTTCTTCCCTCTTTCCCCTGCCTAGAGATGGCTACCATTAGCCGCAAAATAGGCATATGTATGTGTATGTATATATGTATATGCCTGTGTATATTATACACACATATAGTGCACATGTATACATATATGTGTAAAATTATTCTATATATTATGTATCAGTTCTTTCTCTGGATGGCATTTTCATATATCCTTTATAGTTAATTTGGGTATTTATAATAGTCAAAATAATGTATTCACTCAAAGACGTTCTTAAAACAAGATTGCTGGTATAGCTAGGTGGCACAGCGGATAGAGCTCTGGCCTTGGAGTCAGGAGGACCTAAGTTCAAATCTGACCTCAGACATTTGACACTTACTAGCTGTGTGACCTTGGGCAAATCACTTAACCCCACTTGCCTCACCAAAAATAAACAAAATAAAAACAAAACAATATTGCTGTTACTATATACGATGTTCTCATGGTTCTGCTCATTTCATTCTTCATCATTTCATGCAAGTCTTTCCATGTTTTTCTAAAACCATAGAACATAAGCTTCTTGAGGGAAGGGACTATTTTTTTCTTTTTTTATCTCCAAAGCCTAGCACAATGCCTGGCATGTAACAATAATAACTCATTAATGAGTTATTAAGTTATTGAATTTGAGTTAATGAATTATTGAATTGAATTAGATCAAACCTTTTCCAGTGCAATCTTAGGGTCTTGCAATTGGACATTTCTCATATATAGTAAGGTCAAGATTGCAGCTGAGAAAGTAGACTGGTCAATCTACTGTTGGAATTTTGGATTTGGTTCTGGATGCCACATTTTAAGAAGGATATTGTCAAGTTGTGGCACATCTGGTAAGAGGGCAGCCACAATAAAGAGAATTGAAAGCATACCACAGAAGAATTAGTTGGAGGAACTAGGGGTTGTTTAGGTTAAAGAAGAAAGAAAAATCTTTGAAAGGGCATGGTAGCTATCTTCATAAATCTTAGCATGTCATTTGGTAGGTTTGCTTGGCAAAACTAGGGACAATGTATCAAAGTTGTAGAAACAGATTTGTTTTTCTTGAGGTTAGCCACTTATTAATGCCTAGGGGCAGAGCTAAGTGGCACAGTGGATAAAGCACCGGACCTGGAGTCAAAAAGACCTGAGTTCAAATCTGGCCTTGGACACTTACTAACTGTGTGACTCTGGGCAAGTCACTTAACCCTGTTTGCCTCCATTTCCTCATCTATCAAATGAGCTGGAGAAGGAAATGGCCAACCACTCCAGTATCTTTGCCAAGAACACCCCAAATGGGGTCATGAAGAGTCAGACACAACTGAAACAACTGAACAACAACAACAACACATTTATTAAGTGCTTCCTATGTGTCAGGAAAACAAACATCCACACAATTAAAAGAGGAGAGGAGGAAAGAAGGAACAAGAATTTATCAAGCGCCTTCCACATAGGTATACTACGGTATAGGTGTACTGAGCATTTTACAAATATTATCTCATTTGATCATTACAACAACCCTGTAATGATTATATGTTGTATTGTATATATTATAATTATATGTATTATATTATACTATATTATACCTTAACCCCATTTTATGGTTGAGGAAAGTGAGGGAGATGGAAGTTAAGTGACTTGCCCAGGGTTACACAGTAGAAAGTATCTGACACCAGATTTGAATGCAAATCCTCACATCTGACTGTGACTCAGGTTTCCTGACTCAGGTCCCAGGCTCGTTCTACTTCACCATGAGATCCTATCATGTGATCCTATGAAGAGACAGGTCTTGAAGAAAAAATATCTTCATTGTCTCTGCCTGGCCACTTTTTTTGAGAGTCAGGATGAGACAAGACCTATAGACCTGGACTCTATCATCATTCATCCGCTGATTTACAATGTGATCTAGACAAGTTATTTCATCTCTTTTTGCCTTGGGTTTTCCCAGGCCTAAAAATGAGTGATAAAGGAATATGTATCTATCTTTAGCACACTCCAAAGTGCATTTGAAATCTGCTATTCACAGAACCATAGATTTAGAGGTGGGAAGGACTTTAGAGGTCATCTGGCTTATCTCTCTCCTTATTTATACAGATAAGGAAACTGAGATCCAGAGATGTTATTTAATTAACTCAGTCACAGGGGTAATAAGGGGCAGAATTAGAATTCAAATTCAAAGCCCGTGGCTGATTCTAAAAGAAATGCAGCACACCACTCAGAGCCAGTCATATAATAACATTTTATAATTATATAATATATACATAGGGTGACCACCATCACTATAGTGCTTTATACCTACCACATAGCCTTGTGTACACTTCCTCATTCCAATGTACTCATCCACTGTCAGGTCTAGATTCTCAGAGAAGGAACACCAATAAGAAATTAAATTCAATTTTTTTCACGGTCTTAGGGGTAACCCCGTTGTCAGGGAATAAACTCTTGAGCCCCTACTAATATGCTTCTATTTACACAAAATCATCCACTTAAACATAATCATTTACTTAACAATAAGGCAAAAGAAATAATAAAGTAAATAAAGGAATGATGAAATAAATTATAATCCACACACATATCTCAATCATCCTACCAATCACTTTCCTACCAATGCCCATTCTGCCCTGTGCATTGGCACAGAAACCTGCCAATGAGAACATGAGTGAGGAAAACCCATATGCTCTGGGTAATACACATTTCCAGAAACTGTAACCTGTTTTTTTTTTTGTCTCAAAGATTGTCCATCAAAGTCTCTCTCTGAACATAGTTTCTATGTTGAAGAGTTAATTCCACTTCTACAATGAGTTGACCCACACTGTGCTTAACTAGTACCTTACTGGGCCTGACATCTTAACCAAACTAGTTGATTTTCTGGGTGACTTCTCTAATTCTCTGCTTTCAAGAAGAGGAGCCTCAGCCCAGTTATACTTACTCCTCAACAGTACCTGCAGTATATATCCATTCCAGCTTCCAGCTTAGCTGATACAGTTCTGAAATCTGTGATTTCATCTCTTTCCTTTTATCTTTCTGAGTTCAGATTCTGGATTCTTTTGGCAAATGACCCTTTAGCTTATGGTTGGTAACAAAGTTATCACCTGTCTATAATCAGATAAATTACATTTGTCCACAATCATAAAACAATTCTGCTAACCATTTTCCCCCTGTTCACCACAGCTGGTCATATTTAAAATCAACAACTATCTTAGAACTCTGAATAAAGCCAACGTAACCTAGTAACAAACTCTCCACATGTCCCTTAAAGGGACGGCACTTTTACACTCATATAGTTCTTTATGATTTAAAAGTACTCTCACTTCTTTGATCTCTGTCTGAACCTCTAACAACCCTGTGAAATAGGTGCATGAATATTGGAAGCATCTTTGGTTCTGTCAGCCTAAGACTCTCCCAGTGTGGAGATTTACTCTGATGACTTGCTCAAATACAAATTGTTGTAAGTGCATTAGCCAGGATTTAAACTCAGGTCTTCTGACTTGAGTATAGCGTCCTTTTCCATTTCTTCCTGCTTTTCTCAGGCACAAAATTGTGTATGTCTACCACTTATATCTGTGTATGCAGTGGGAAGTGCTAACTTTAAAATTTTGCCTTGGAAATGTCGGGGCAACCCCGAGTCATCTGAGTGCCTAAAGAACCCCCATCTCCTTTGTTTAACCTTGTCATTTTTCAATAAGGCCAGGCATTACCTAATCCACTTAGATCAACTTATCCTGGCTGAGTCTGACTGCAACTCATGAGATGCCTGGACTGCGTTTACCTTTCCTTTGAAATCCTTGCCCAGGTTGCAGAATGGAGATGTCACATCTCATTTACCAGACATCTCCAGGTTTCCATAGCACCTGTGTAAAAGCTCAGATATACTCACAGCTATCTTGCCTTTCCTAAATAGGAAAGCTGAAATGCAACTTCCCTTTGAATTCTCTCTGTCTCTCTTTCTGGTATGGAAAAGCATACATCTGGGTCTCATTTTAAGAAAATTGATTATGAAAATCTGGACTTATAGGCCCAATAAATCCATGCATGGTTTACATAAGAGTTACAAAATGGACTTATTACAAATAAATAAATCACAAAACGATTCATCATGTATTACAAATGAATATATTACAAAAGGGTTTTTCTATATTTAAATATTGTGCTTGGTTACAGATTATTGAATGGAAGGATCTGGTGAACTTAAGAGTTGACAGAGAGCTTAAGTGTTAAAACTTGTGTTGAAGAGGAAATGAAGATAAAAGACCTCTGAAATAATAACATAAGGCCATTGAAAAACAGAATTTGATTTTAAAATTAATGCATTCATTTCTGAGATTCTCAACAATCTCCATTTTCATCTTTGACTCTGAAATCTGAGTTCTATAAGCTTTTAAGTGGGCAGACTAAAAGAAAGTTGCTCTTCATAGCTACTTATTATCCCTCCTGTAGCTTGGAAGACAGAAGCTTCCTAGATCTCTAGAACTGGGAGCCATTAATATCAAATGAGATAATAGTTTGCTTTCTAAACTCTCCCTGCACAGCGGCCCCCCCGTCCCCGGTTCCCCCCCCCATCCCCATGACTCCATCTGCTAAACATGCTCAAGGCATTGTACACATTCAGGACTTAGAACATAATCTAAACATTTGAGAGGGAAAGTGACCTTCCCCAAGGTCAGAGACCATCAGTTTTTTCACTTATTGAGGACATCTCCTTTCAGAAATGGAAGCCGAGAACACCCTTTCAGTTGGACTCTGATGTACCAAATAACTCCCATATGATGAATATGACCAGCTCACTAATTCATGTGTGTATGTGTTCTATGTGTCCTCACACATAATCTTTTATAGATGCATGTTTTTTCCACGTAAAAGGTGTCAATACAAAATAATGAAGCCAATTACATAAGGCACATGTAAATGCATGAACAAATGAACTTTCTCCCCATCCCCTACCTCAAATCCCTGATTTTACAGGTAAGGAAAGCCTTGGGCCTAGATAATAGACCATTTTAACCATTGAAGTATCAGTGGGGCTTGCTTACTCAAAATTAAAAAAAACAGATGTGAGAAAACATGAATGTACAGCTCAGCTCTTCTGCTCATTAACTGTGTAAGCCTGGGCAATATGAATAATGGGGGCCGTAAAGTGCCACAAGCCACAAGAATAGAGCTTTGTTTGCAAAGTACTCGAAAAGCCTTATTTCACCTGTGCCTTACCACCATACTATGAGGTAAGTCCTAGTATCTCCACTTTATAGAACGTGAACTCAGGTCTTCCAAATCCCAATCCCAGCACTTGCTTCATTATTTCATGTTGCCTCCTAATTTTAGCAATCATAGGAAGCTTCATGCTATAGAGGAAAGTGTGACGGATTTGGAGTCAAAGGATCTTGCTTAGAATCTTGCCCTTGCTATTTTATACATGGGTGACTTTGAGCAAATTAACCTCTTTGGGCCTCTGTTTTTCATTTGTAAAATGACAAGGTGGGATATGGTGGCTTCAGAGTCCCTTCCAGCTCTAAATATGTGATGTGGTGATTTATAAGATTCCTTTTGGTTCTATTTCTAATTTATTTAGAAAAACCAATGCATGTGAGAAATGTAAATCACAAACAGGAAGGTTAATTTTGTTTATTGGGTCAAGATACTTTATTCTCTTTCTCATAAAGCCTTCAGTATAACAACTTTGGTTCCTTCAAAGAGCCCTTATTTCCAGTTGCATGAGAGAAAAAAAGACTGTCCAATCTGACAAGCTCCTGGCACTTTTGTAGTCTTATTCATTCTCTGGGAGGCAGAGATATGCTAAGCAAATTAGGGTTGCATTTGTTAGACAAGCAAACAGTGTTGAAGTCTGTGCCGCTCTCCACCTGGGAAGGCTTAAATGTCATTAAAGTTTGGTTTATGTCTAGCAGTGTTTTTTAGAGATCACATGCTAATGTCATGAATAGTGACCATGTTGCAGATTCTTCCATTTTAAAATGAAAGAAACATCGCATCTTTTCCATCATGGGTTTTGTGTTTCCTTTGCTATACTGAGGGAAATGTTTGGTTGAAGAGCAAATAAACTCGTTAGGGACAAGTACAACTTTTTTCTTCTGGATTTTATTTATTCCAAGGTTTTTAAGGCAAGAGAGTTGAAAGGCCTTTAGATGTCTTTACATATGGGCCACTTCCAGGAATTTGCAAATAGCTGGGATCCTAGGCTCAGAGTCAAGTTTCTGCCACTGTCCTTTATCCAAGGAGAAGTTGATGAGAGATGGAAGTTACATGCTCTTCTGGGCTAGGCAGGGGATTTCATTCTGGCATGGTCCTGAATGCCCTTCATATCTCACCTGATCCAGCTTCTGACATAAACAGGTGCTTGGTAAATGTCTTTTGGTGGTAGAGATGGTGATAATGATGGATGTCATAGAGCGAGGAAGATCCATTCCTGTCCATGCACTAGTTTTTATCTGTAAAATGTTAGCCAACATAAAGATGAATGTAGGTATTGCCTAGAGAATGATAATATACAAGACCATAAAGTAATGACGTTATATTTTTGTGGGCCTTGGGCAGCACGGTATAACAGAAATAATAGTGGATTTATAAACAAGAGACCAGAGATCAAGCCTCAAATCCAACACCTTATCATAATGGTCGTGGGTGGGTTAGCAGAACATTTAGTTTAGAAATTGAAGGACTTTAGAATTTAACCAAGTTCAACCCACTTCTCTGATCCTCAGTTTGCTCATCTGCAAAATAGGAATAATTATAGCATATTGCCTATCTCTTACAGTTGTTATGAGTAAAACACTTTCTAAGCTATGAGTTCTATACATGAGATATTATAATTACATCCTACATAAGCATTTTATGCAAAACTGAGAATAGCCCTTTGCAAACAGTAGGCACTTACTAAATTTTTATTGGATTAGAAAGCCCTGAAAGTGATAAAGAAAGTTCTTAAATGCTGATGGAAGTGGGGAAGGGAGTTTCCCATATCATATGTCTTATTTGGGGTGACATATTAGTACAGCAATAACCTTCTTCTGTTCAGGATTCTTGGAGCAGCTTAAAGTGGGCCAGATCTTATCAGCTCAAGGATTTAGACCTGGAAGACACTTCAGAGGTCATCATTTCCAGCCTCCCTAATTTGACAGAGGAAAAGACTAAGGCTCAGGAAGTGTAAGTGACTTGCCTGAGGTTGCACAGGCAATAGGTAGCAGAACTCAGATTTGAGCCTGGAAGATTATAGGTGCTTAATTAAATGCTTATTGATGTATCAATTGGCAATTGGCTGGTTAATTGAGCCAAAGTCCTCTAGAATCTAGAGCCAGAATTCCCTTCTATCTACTGAACCACCCTGCCTCCTACACCATGCTGCCTTTGATCAAAGGATCCCTGTGAAGTCCTGACACATGCTTGTAATACATTAGCCTAATAGCAAAGTGGAGCCATGCTTGTCACATCAGTCCTACCACTTTTCCTGGATTTGAATGGAATAGGACAAATATTTAATAAGCACCTACTATATGCCAGGCTCTGTGTAAGCACTTTACAAATAAGATCTCATTTCATCTTCACTACAACCCTGGGATGTAGGTACTATTGTTATTATTTGCATTTTATAGTCAAGAAAATGGAGGTTAAGTGACTTGCCCAGGGTCACGCAGCCAGTAAATATCTGAATTTGAATTGAGGTCTTCCTGACTCTGGACCTAGTACTCTATCTATTTGTACTGCCTAGCTGCCTCAGCCAAAGCTGAGGAGGAGGTGTTTTCTAATTGTGAGTTTTTTGTCTCCTAGGACAATGTGACACACAGAGGCTTGATATAACAGGACCTTATGATATTCATTCATTCATTTGTTTAACATTTATTGCCTGATTTGCCTTAGGTAAGTCGGTTCCTCTTTCTAGACCTCACTTTCTTCATCTGTTAAAACAGAGGGGTCAGATTCCTCCAGCTCTAAATTCCATGCTCTTATAATGGGCAATCATATTACCCCCCACCCTCCATCCTGCTATGTTCTGGAAATGCTTGTTTTATTTCTTAAGTTCGGAATAAAATAAAAACAAAACAATCCCATTGTGTAAAAGGCATTGTGTCAGATGCTCATGCTCCCCTAAAGAAGAAAATCCAAAAGGCTTTTTGTTGGTCTTAAAGCACCAACAGTAGGCAGAGGCTA